TTGAATTTGTTATAGTTAAAACTATTACAATATCATTTTATTCTTCCCTAGCTTTTGCCCGCGGTTTCGCCTGCGTGAGTTTTGGTTTATCTTAAAGTGTTTTCCGCTCCAAAAACCGGGATACGAAATATACTATGTTTTCACTGGATTCCAAACTATCAATCAAGATAGATTAGAGTAGGTGCCTCCCTTTACTTAGGCCCTATCCAGGGCACTTATACACGTCTCAAATATAGCTTGCCCTACCACCACTTCGGGACAACATGGGCTGCTGCAGAGAAAATGTGGTGGAAGAAACTCAGTCACCTTTGTCAGCCTTAAGACACCTTTGTCAGTAAATCTTGATTTTTTTATCCACAACGAGGAAGCTAATAGCCTGTATCTCACCTGATGGTAAGTGATGATCAGGCCGAAGGTGGAAGCGAGCTTCACCCGGAATCCTCAACCACAGTGGAACTGGCTATCTTACCTATAACTGCCGGAACACAACAATGCTGTTAACATTGTTGTTATGGCGACAGACTTAGGTAAGATGGTGGTAGCTAGCCAGGCGGACTTAGAACAAGCCCTACCACCAACCAAACCGAACAGAAAAATCTGCCCCCACTGGGAATCGAACCCGGGAACCTCTGCGTCTGAAGCAGGTGGTCTTACCACTAGACCACCGAGGCGGTTGATGTGCCACATGAGTCATCTTGCCAGTTAGGAGTCAATTTAAATTGAACCTTCTTGAAAAAGTTTTTGCTTGTTCCTCCAGCAACAAATGAGATTACTTATAATTACAAAATGTAAAGTCTTTACAATACACAAATATCCAGTATTGACACTCCCACATCTCGTTCCCACCGCTGCAACTCCTGTGTAGCCAGAATCTTCAGCTTGACCGCCATAACCCAACCAGTGAAGGTCAAGTTTGTCCCTAGGGAAAGTTAAACTGTCATTGGACCCGCAACGAAATTAATCAGAAGAACGAAGGAGTTCGAAGTTAAGGTCCAGGGCAAAGCGGATGACAGTAGACAAACAAAGTTTACAACAACAGTAAGCATAAATTATGTAGACCTATCTAGTGATATTTTTTACAAAAAGACATATTTTTTACAAAAAGCTAGGAAATGTAGAGCATATCCACAAAAAAGCGCCCCAACATTCTTCCGCTAATGTTTGAGTGTTATCGGTACATACTAATAATCATCCGTGAGTGCACACGCACACTACAATAATGACGCTCGGATTGCTCGGATCAAACTCCCCGCACCCGCGCGACCTCGACCAAAAATTGGTGGGGCGCGTCTTCGTGAATGAAACGATCTATACTAGACATGGAAATGATTGCTATTTTTCATTCATTTTCATTCTATGAAATAAAGATTTTTTTTCATATGATTTCACATGCGAAATTTCACAGGCAATGATTTTTATTCGCAGTGTTGTAATGTAGCTCTTTCATATAATGTGCTACTTTTAATGAAGTATGAATTATGATGAAGGATTTCTAATTAGCTAAAATATGAAATGTAACAATATCTGTTTCATTTATGTCGCACAACAAAAAACAAACCGCACCCTTAATAATGAATGGGCACAACTCCAAAATTCAGTTTTTTGGGAAAAGCCAAAAAACCAATCGGCGGATCGCGGTTTTTTACATAATTGGCTCTAAAATCTTTATTTTATCAGCTACAACTTTCAAATTAAGCATACTTCATCACTGGTATCTGTTATATAATTTGACATGAGACATTTTTGAAAATATTGATTATAAGTATGTAAAAAAATTGTTTAAAAGAATATTTCAAAGTTAGGCCTTTATTTTACTATTTCTGTTGTTGTGATTTTGGGTATTACTTGTACTTGTGCCCATCTAATCCTTAGGCTGAATTGTTTTATATGGCATATTCCCTAATATTGCTCTCTAATATTTAAAAATAAGTGTATTATTCGATTTTTATATTGATTTACGCCCAATAACATTGGGGACAGTTATTGTGCGGTATAGTAGCTTATAGCCAATTCAGTATAAGACCACCGCTTTATTTCTTAGCATCGCGATAAAACATTCTATAGGCTCCTAATCAACCAATAGGTATGAAAATTAATACCAAGAAGCAAATTACTTTTATAGGAGAGTTATAAATTTAACTACAAACACCCATCCATGGTCCGCCTAACTAAAGTTAAAGTTATATTTTATAATTTTATATGATTAACGGGACTTTATCAATGTAATAAAAATGAAAATGTAACATATTATTAGAAATATATGGAATTAATTAGACTTAGCTCACTAACACTTACTTAAAAGTTTGTCACACAAAGGCACAACTCCAAATTGGACCACAGTCGCGGGGGCCGGATTCGACAAATATCGGCATGTCTCTGATTCAGCCCTTCTAGCGGGAAGATAGATGAAAGTATGGAAGGGGCACAAAATGTAGAACTCTTTAATCTGATCATTGTTTTCGATTTCTGTGAAAGCCATCTTGTAGAACTGACGAAAATATGCCTCTCTAGTACAAAAAGTAAAAAACCAAAAATTTTGAGTTGTGCCCCTATATTATTAAGGGTGCGAAACAGTTTCACAGCACATCAATAACCGCGCGACTAGTGAAAATCATTCATTTCATCTGCCTGCTATCTAATGAAATCATACGAATTATGACAAGGAAATCTAAACCTTTTACACCTTTGAGTTTAAAGTTATTTAAAATGCCCAGTTTCGTCCGTCATCACATCTCTTGTCCTTTTCTAACACGCACATGATCAAATCATTCCTTCTTACTCGCTCGGTCGCTTCGCAGAGCTGCGCTCACGGATTTCGCTAGAATGAATGAATGAACTTCATGTGATTCGTGATTTCGTTGACTGTGAAATTATAGCAGTCTATGTGAAGTAAAATAGCAGGTGTTATTAATGAAATTCATTTCATATGATTTTTCACCTGCTATTCATGAAATGTTCCATGCCTAATCTATACTAGGCTCTATATACATGCTATTCTAAGGGTAATAAATACTTCTGTTCCCCTCTACGTTATGTCCTGAACAGTGTAACTCAATTCTGCCGGCTCCAAAGTCGTCAATTTCTTAAAGTAAGTAATTTAAGTTGTGCGCAGTCCCCGGGCCTTTGTAGTACAGTTAGCATCATATTTCGTGACACACAAAGTAGCTAAATACACAACACGTCTTTGTTACGATGGAATAAGGTTGTGTCAACTTTGTGATCACTTTCTCACGAACTACTGACGTTGACTGTATCGATGGAGATAGCAACTTTATTTTGGTACTCGATCGAAGGGTTGTATTTCTAAAGTCATTAACAATTTGATACCTTGTCTTTGATTGAAAATGTATCGAACAAATGAAGCAGAGTAATTAATATTGACTGAAATCTTCTATATCTATAAAAGCGAAAGGTCTGATTCACTCATTCATCACGAAATCTCAGAAACTACAAGTGCTAAGAGTCTCAAATTTTGCATGGGGGTTCTCTTTACAACGTAGGTGCTCACTTAGAACGGATTTTATGAAACTCCACCCCTGAGGGGTTAAAACGGGATCTACGCGTACGAAGTCGCGGGCGGCCGCTAGTTTACATTCCCTCTAATATGGTCGAGTGAAGCGATGGCTGGTTCACTCGTCATGTCTGTGAACAGGCGCTGCTTTCGGGGACTGGTCAATCCAAGTTATTCAAATCTATGTATGCGAGTCATTTCTACTAGTACCTTAATATGTAAGTCTAGATATTAGCACGTCACTACCTTGTTTAATATACCACGCAATCTTGTATACCCATTCTTATTAAATGATACACCATACAAGAATGCATGGTAAATTCAGTGAACTGCTCCTGAATCGAATGTACCTACTACTACTATTTCTATTTATTTATATTAACCGGCAGACAGTGGTGACTGAGTTTGTTGCGGCGCTTCTTCTCAGCACTTGCCAAATGTTGGTCTCGAAGCGCTGGTAGGGTAAAAAGATTATGAGACATGTAGAGGCTCCTTAAGAGCAAATGACGATTTGTAAGAACTATTTATTAGTCTAAACAAATAAAGAAATTTTGACTTTGACTTTTTTTGACTTTTTATCGTTCGTTCGTTCGTTCGTTTCAGCCGAAAGACGTCCACTGCTGGACAAAGGCCTCCCCCAAGGATTTCCACAAAGACCGGTCCTGCGCCGCTTGCATCCAGGCACCTCCCGCGACCTTCAACAGATCGTCGGTCCACCTAGTGGGAGGCCTGCCCACACTACGTCTTCCGGCTCGTGGTCGCCACTCAAGAACTTTCCTGCCCCAGCGGCCATCAGCTCTTCGATATAGCTTTTCGCTAGTTTATAATGTCTTTAACCCTTTCAGCACGACAGAACAAAAAGTGAAAACTTGAAAAAACTTGTATTTATATGTAACCCATAGCATTCAAAGTCCCCAACAAAAATAGTAAAAAAATCCCCCCCCTCTGGTTTCCCCCCAATAGACATCGCACGTACGTGCGTTCCAGGTTCTACTCAGCTAACGCAGGATCGTGCATTCCATAATAAATCATACAAAGTTTGTTTAATTATAAGTACTTTATTTATTATAGCCCTATTTATCAGTCTCATCAACATAAGTATTTAATCTCGCATACTAATTACATTTTAATGACAAGATTTTTAAAAAATATCTAGCATTTTCGATATTCTTAGACTTAAAAACAGAATTACTTTGAGTAACATAATTATGACACCTTTATTGAACAATAACATTAATCAAAAACAAACAGAAATATTTCCTACCATTTTTAATGAAACAAAGCAGTCTTCTTAGTAACAATATTAATCAAATAGAAAATTTTGTGGTATGACATGCTAGGAAGCAATTTTTATTCCTAACAAGGCACAAATGAACGTTGCATTTTGTGCAACGGATAGTAGTGGAAGACGTGCAGTTCTCTAATCTCTAACCTGCATTTTCTACCTCTTGTGAGATCAGGAAATGGTTAAATTTGTACAATTGTTTATCTGACGATGGAACCACAGCTGGTCTATATCTTTTAGTTGATGGTTCAGAAATAGGAGCTTCATCTTCTAAAACTTGATCAGCCTGAGGAACCGAAGCAATCAGAGCATCAGCAAGGTTCAATCTGAACCACAGCAAGTCCTTAGCCTTAATTTATTTACCTCACCAGCTGTTACTCTTGGTGGAAAATCATGGCATTTGTTTTCGAAGTTAGTTGCGCGCCAAATTCTGCGTCTTTCTTGCATTGGTAGACCACTGGTAGAGGCTGCTGGCTGGTTTCTAGGCTCTGTCACATTTAATTGCCCGTGTTGTGCTAAGGGGACTCCAATTTCTTCATTAGACTCATCCCCTTCACCGTTGTGTGGACTATCTGCATCATTTTCCAGAAACAGAAAAGCTTCGCTTAGTTGTTCCTCGTCCGATTCCTCCTCCAAGTCAGATGTGCACCCATTTCCGATCAGTTGTTCCACCAGATTCTCGTTTAGAGCACAACCAGTTGAAAAATAGATCATTTTAGTATTATTTCAATGTTACCTAAAAGCACATCATAAAACGACAACGCACGAACGTGCGCTCGCAATTAAATGGCTTTTTTATAAGAAAATGTTGATAAATACTGTAATATTTTTTTGTTTTACAGTCAAGGGATATATAAACAAATGAAATAAATACGATTGATAACATAAATATCACATTAAATATAGAAACAAAACACTCACGTCTTCCTCGGCCGTCAACAAACATGAGTCCTGTCTTGCACAAGTCCTGACGCGTCACTGGCAAGTATTTCTCCCCGCGCGTATGTTCTAACGGTTAGATTAGGTAATGCACAAACGATCGAGACCGTTTCGGCGCAGCAAAATCAAAATCCGCGACCTCTAGAATTTTTTGAGTGTCAACGCAAGTTTAGTACAATCCGTGCTGAAAGGGTTAATATTTACCAGCTTTTCATTAGGGATAATGTAGAATTCTAATGGTGAAAGAATTTTCAAATCGGTGCAGTTTCAGAGCCCATTCAATACAAGCATACAATAAAATACGCGGGCGTAGCCGCTGGCAAAACCTACTCAATAATAAATCTAGCTAGTAGTCGTTTCCATTAACAAATTAATGTAAACATTAGTATATTTATTTAGCAATCACCCACTTAAAACAAAACGTTGCTGCGTAGAAACCATCTCACGTTGCTATGTTATGTAAATACCTACCTATGCTGTAATTTTGTCTTCCCTTGGTAAAAAAACTGACTTTTTGCCTATTTAAAAACTATATAAATATTTGTATACCTAAACCAAAAACGTAAAATGAGTTATTTAATTTTTAGACTTAAGTATCGATATAAATCTCAAACTAATTTGAAAATTATAAATAACTTGAAAAATCTAAATGCCTAAGGCAGGAATCGAACCCTCGACCTTTCGCGTGCCGGGCGACTGCTCTTCCATCTGAGCTACTTAGACAACGGATGAACCTGTCGTCAAAAATAAAAATGAGTTTTGAATACCTATGAAAAAATAAAAAAATCATCTTTTTTTCACCCCATTGGATTATAATTTTCAAGAGTCTTAAAGTCATTCCCATTTCTTAAACTAATAACTAAAAGTCTGTCAAAGTCATTTATTTTCTGCTAATAGGCTTTCAAAAAGCACTTTTAACCCTACCACTGATGTTTAGATAGTGTTTGAGTTTCTTGCGCTGCTTCTTCTCAGCACTGGCCCATTTATTGTCCTGAAGCAGTGGTAGGGTTAATACTGGGACGTGTAAAAGTGCTTTTTTAAAGCCTACTTAAAGAAATAAATGAGTTTTACTGAGTTTGTTTGAAACAGCAAATCGAACGGACAGTGTTGAATAGAGCTCTGTGATTGGTCCGTGTGTCACCCTATGCGTCCACGCGCAATGTGAGACCTCATAGTAATGTTCGTAAATACGGGCGTCAGTCACCTTTGTCAGCCTCTTCAGGGTCTTTTCTCAAGGAAAACTATAATCTATCATCTTAATAGAGTCTGTTCAGTGTATCAAATACATGAAAAGTTAGCAAAAAGACAGACTTTCACTTAGTATTGTTCATCATCATCATCATCATTATTTCAGCCACAGGACGTCCACTGCTGAACATAGGCCTCCCCCAATGATTTCCACAATGGCCCGGACTGCATCCAGCGCCTTCCCGGTACTTTTATGAGGTCGTCGGTCCACCTTGGGACGTCCTACGCTGCGCTAAACTTTTTATTGTTACCATTAAATAATTACTTTGGCTCTAATTATAATTGCGTCACAATGTAATTAACATTGTCCCTTTTGCAGACGGTACAGTCAGCGACAAATAGTTAGTGACACCCAAAGTAGCCGTTATGTTTTTTTTATCCACAACGAGGAAGCTCTTGGCCTGTATCTCACCTGATGGTAAGCGATGATCAGGCCGAAGGTGGAAGCGAGCTTCACCCGGAATCCTCAACCACGGAGGAACTGGCTATCTTACTGAACAGAAAAATAGAACAGAATTCAGTGGAATGCAATAAAGAATTGAGTATTGAGTATTAACCCGGGACCTCAGCTCTGAAGCAGGTGGTCTTACCACTAGACAGAGGCGATTACTCTAGTTACATTATTATTTTAGTTTCATTTGAATACCTATAAATAAATCGTACCTTCAAATGGAATAGACCAACTTTTTGAAATCTTTTGGCGTAACGAATTGATGCTGAGTGTACCTACGTCACATGTCTAATTGTGTTGACTCTGTGGTCCGCAAACCACACAACCTCAGAATGCAACCTTAATTGGAGGTCTCGGTCACAAAATACATAGGAGCAGAAGACAATCTACATACAAAGACAACTACACGCGCAAAGTATCGCAAACCAGTCTAAACCACACGTGAAGTATCGCAAACCAGTCTAAACCACACGCGAAGTGTAGCAAACCAGTGTAAACCACACGCGTAGTGTCGCAAACCAGTCTAAACCACTCGCGAAGTGTCGCAAACCAGTCTAAACCACACGCGAAGTGTCGCAAACCAGTCTAAACCAGTGCGAGCGCGAATACCGCCCTTTGAGATGCGTCTGTGTGCGTAAGTAAAATGTAGTATAGTTGTTGCAATTCACGAAGGCGAGTGAGCTTTACATGTGTGGTGGCTCGCTAATACTGTTCGTTATATGCATGTATTGTACATGTACAAATGGACGTCCCGATTTTGGCGGGACGTCCCGATTTTTAAATCAAATTTATATGTCCCGCGCGGGACAAGCTCTGTCCCGCTTTTCGGAGAGAGACACTCACTTCACCAGACTATTGTTTGAAACGCCTTATTATTATAAAGAATAATTTTTTTATTTCTATTTTTGGTTTTTTTTTCTTTTTTTATTCTAAAGACGAATTTAACGATAGAGTAAATCTGATTTAAAATATTATTTTTTTGTTAAAATACATATCGCCCATTTGCGACGACACTGTGATATCTCGAGATATACGATTTTTTGTTTTACCGAAATTCTGAACCGCGATCTTGGGTTCTTTTATCTCCAAAAACAGGGTATTTGTTACTCCAAAAACAACAATACTATGAGAGAAAGAAACAAAATATTACGTTATAGCGCTGGCTCGTTCGGCGATCTAGTTGGCTTCGACACTGTGACAGTTCAGTTGCCACCTGCGCTTTGAGATGTGAGGTGCTCTTTGTTTTTAAGAAAAACGTGACATCTCTAGGATACCGCGGTATTGATGACAACGGTAAGTTTTAAAAAAAAAATATTTTATTCGACAATGTGGCATGTCATACTTATCACAATGTTCTTGTAAAACAAAAAGCAAAGTAAAAGAGAAATTATTTATATGTCACGTTATTCTTGTAAGAAAATCGAAGTATCATCGGGACATCTTAACTAGTAACGTTGTAGATGATGAAAATTTTTCCTATAATGGAAATATGTTGTAGGTCATTTGTTGATGTTCTGTTATTGCAGAATGCATGTTATTGAAATTGAATGGTATATCTACTTGTCACGTTGTATACGCTAAACAGTAATACTAAAGTCCAGATATCATTGCAGATGGGGACTAGCAATGCGAAAAAGCAAAGGTTAACATTTGTGTCGATGCACTGCCTGAAGGAATTCCACAACCTAATCCGACAACATGACTAACAGCGCTATGTGAGCGCTGTGAAAGGGTCTCTTTGAGCTACAATAACGTCGGTAATTAATAATATTAATAACTAATACGAGTAGATGTAGACTGATAAACATACATTCGTTTTGAAGAATAGTTCAAATACTAGTAATACAGTGCAAATAAAACATACTTATACGACTGTCTGTTTTTACAGACACAACAAGCAAAATATTTAATATTATCATACGATAGCCTTAGATTAGCTTAATCTAAGACGATAGCTAACAAAATTATCTATCAGTAGAAGTATGCTAGAACAGCAATGCGTTGGATGACCCCAGATATTTATTTATTTATTATTATGTAATTATTCAATGTTACTTAGCTGTATTGGCTATGTTTTGCTTTCTGCAAAAAAGGTAAATTAATGTTTTAATGTAATTACAGATCATCAACAATTGACTGAATTTTACTTTATCGCTTATTGCCCAAATATACTTTGGCGGGCGCAACATAGTTTTGTATAATAATAAAACTACGCCAATAAAATGGCTACATTATTTATAAATAGTGGTTGTTATTTTTCTCTATTAATACATTTTTTAAATAATTATCTTTTATAAATTTAATTTTAAATAAGTATAAAAAATTAAAACACCCGAAAAGGTACCAAAATGTCGCATGTTTGCCATTTTATTCGCCGGGGACGGCGATTTTTGCGTTGATAATTTTAGGATTAGATTGTCATAACTAGTCTGTTATAAAATATCTATTTACTATCCTAGTAGGTACCTAAAATTTTTTCTTCTGCATACATACATACCTACTTAATACAGTTTCTCTTAAGTACTGTGTTTTTTTTTGTAGTAGTTTACGAGATTTTACTTTTGAGAGTTTTTCGTTTATTTTGATAAGCATTAGTTTTTAGAATAAGAAAACTTAATGTGAGCTTAAATATTGTATGTATACAACTGTCTGTCTACTTAGATAATATTTTTTAAGTGCAATTTAACATAGCAAAGCGAAATATTCGCCTGTTCCAATAATTACCTCATTTTTACTGATTGTAATGTTATTAAAATAAAATAAAATTTTTCAAGATCAACGTTTTATCTAAATAATGACTTATATAAATATATTTTTTTACATCATCTTCAACGTGACAACTGAACTTACCATCTTCAAAATATTATGTTTTTACTAGAACAATGTGATAAGTTGTCTCTTTTTTTTTCAATCGCTATAATTTCATCAATTTAGACGCAAATTTATGTCTTACTATAAATATTTAAATTTATTAATAGTTAATCTTTAAACGTTTCATACACAATTAGGTAATCCTAACCTTCTTTTAAGAGTTATGGTCATTCAAAAGTTAAAAAGTCGTTTTCTGGAAAACCACTGTTTTTGATATATCACAGTGTCGTCGCAAATGGACGATATTCTATGGCTACTTTTGCTATCTATTGTCACGTAAACGTAATTTTAAGTCAAATAAAAGGATAAATATTTGAAAACCTTTGATTATATACGTTTTTTTACTATGTCCCGCTTCTGACGGAAGAATCCCGCTATTTTCACTCAAAAAGTACCAAAGTCCCAACTTGGCGAAAAAAAAAAAAACTGGCAACGCTGATGTACACACACAAGTAAACCTTACTCGTCTTCGTGAGTTGCAAGAACTAACTATACATACAGGTGATTGTCTTCTGTTCTTATTTGCTTTGTGTCTGGGTGTTGGTTTGGTTACATCATGGCATGGTGGTTTGCCATGATGTTGGTCAGTCTTTAAAGAAAAGTTGACACTTTTGGGTTTT